CTGGAGTTCAATCATAATGAGAGATGTCTAGTGTTCCGGCACTAAATCTTTGAATGACTGGATTATTGCTTCACAGATTATTTTCCAGGTCAGGTACAGTGGTTAAATGAAATGCAGCGTCAGTATTACTTGAATAACTCTACTAGACATTGTAAAAATTTGATTTAAACATACTAAAAAATTATATACATGTGTGTGTGTGTGTGTGTAAAGAGAGAGAGAGAATAGAGAGAGACAATTCAGAGACAGAATCTTAAACTCGAATTAAACAAATTAGACTTAAATTACTTATATTTTTATAGTTATTGAAGCAATGAATTAACAGTAAGTGTAATGCAACACCAAAAATATGTTTATGTTTATGTTTTATGATATCAGAAAATTGACACATAATGACTGGGCCCACACATTCAGACAAATTTCCCGTAATTTATTGTTCCTCCTCATGCATATTTAAATATTAGGTAAAATTTGAATATTTTTAGCTAATCTAATGCTTTCAAATGACCAGTAAGAGCCTCTCAACACTGTTGTACCACATTTAAACATGCGACATAAACAGTGTAATGTAATATAAGCATTAGTGTATAAAACTAATTTGATTAATAATAATATGAATGTTTGTAATTTTTCCTTTCATGTTGTTGATGTTGTTTTCACTTTTTGTTGACATGTAAACTATAATATCTCAATGATTCTGAACCCCTCACTAGAGAAACACTTTAAACCATGAGCATGTTTTAATCTATTTTAGTGCACAGAGCTGCTGTTGGAAAACGATTGGCCTTATAACATATGTTAGGCATTCCATCAGCTATATGTCTCTGCGACACAATTTTCTTATTTACAGACCCAAACACCCACATCGGCTGTCTTGTATCATTTCCTAATTTCCATTCTCTCTCCTCTCTTCCTCCTCCTTTACCCACAGGAAGCCACGGGAGGCCTTAATTACACCATGTCTCACGGCAACAGCACAGCTCCCGCTCTCTTCATTTCCTCTCACTCTCTCTTTCTTTCCTTCATTCTTTCTTCCTGACCTCCTTTTTGCCCCCCGTACCTCCCCCTTTCCATTTAAGGCAGTCTGAGAAGTCTGTGATACGAGTCCAGTAGAAAGTTTGTTGACAGCTGCAGCGCTGTATGAGCTGCTCTCTCTCACTAAACAACCCTGCTGTGATCATGACTCACTATGGCATGGCTTCCAGGTCATTGGAGATCTCAACAACAACATATCATAAGGTCCTTTTAATTGAAATCATCCTCATGGAAACAGACAGGCACGCATGCAAGAAAAAAACTGTGCCTTCTGTGATTTCAGCAAATTGTACACATGACACATAATGACTGAGCCCAAATTTCCTGTTATTCTCAAATTCACTTGTTTTTCTTCATTATATGTTTTACACATGCCTTGAAAGAGTTTTATTTAAATTTTTTTATTTTATTTAAAGAACCATCTCTTTCTTACCTTTTTATAATCCGAAGAACCTTCTTTCGCTATAAGAACCTTTTGTGAAACAGAAAGATTTTTTCAGATGTTAAAGGTTCTTTATGGAACCATTTAGATAAAAAAGTTCTTCTATGGCATCGTGAAGCACCTTTATTTTTAAGAGTGCGTTTTTGTTAGCTAAATATCTGTAATTATGTTTAGGAGATGCTATTTTTTAATTGTTTGAGACATCTAAAATAAGAATGAAATGTTTGAAATCATAATTAGGATTTTACCACTATATAAAATTTAGTCTTGGAAGTGAGGAAAAGAAATTTCCTCTACTGTCATTTATTCTCTGGCTTGTTTATTTCTCTTTTCCTTAGTGGCAAATTGTATGTTTAATTGCTCCCTCTGTGAATAAGAAGGCAGTTAAGGGAGTGTGTGTTCGGGACAGCTAGATTATACATGACAGTGCTTGTTTTAACACACAGGCTTTGTGTTTAAAGAAGAGAATGAGAATTAATGTGTTTTGTCTACAAACCTGTAAAAGCCTGAAAAGATGCTCGAAATAGGACAAACACACACATAGATGCCTAAACACATGGAAACATTCCTTGGATGATTAAACAGCTTGTGCTGTTTGTCCTTTTCTGGCACTACCTGTGTCCCTCTGGAGGATGCAGACGTACTGTTTCATCTTTCCCCACCTGAAGAGTCTGGCCTGATAAAATATCAGCCGCTCACAATATTTCTGTTGCACAAACAACACACACAAAAAAGAAAAATACTCTGGAAAAGGCGTCAGTGCTGTTTACGTCCCTTTTGTGTTGTGTTACACAACAAAATCAGGGTTGAATTACTGCTGAAGGGTAAAAATGCATCAGTGCTTTTACTATCAATCCATTAGTAATGTAGAAAAACTTATGTGCATTAACTTTTAAGCTGTTCAGAGTTACACTAGACCTACTGAGTTTTTTTTAAGAAATTAGTACTTTTATTCAGCAAGGATGCATTAAACTGATCAAAAGTGACAGTAACAACATTTATAGAGTTACGAAAGATTTATTTGACAAGAAATGCAGTTTATTAAACTTTTATATTCATTATAAACTTTATTAAAAGAAATGTTTCTTGATCTGCAAATCAGCATGATTTCTGAAGGTGATGCTGAAAATTCAGCTTTGCATCGGAGGAATAAATTACATTTTAAAATATATTATATTAATATATTTATTTCACAATATTACACTTTTTAATACATTTTTGAATAATAATAAATGAAGCCTTAATGAGCATAAGAGACTTATTTCAAAAACATTTTAAAAAACTCCAAACCTTTGAAAGGTAGCCTATATGTTATTTTATGGTTGTTATTCCTAACTGTATATAAATATTTCTGGCAAACCCCAGATTTATATCAAATATTGGTGGCAAACTACCTGAAGAGTCTGGCCTGATAAAATATCAGCCGCTCACAATATTTCTGTTGCACAAACAACACACACAAAAAAGAAAAATACTCTGGAAAAGGCGTCAGTGCTGTTTACGTCCCTTTTGTGTTGTGTTACACAACAAAATCAGGGTTGAATTACTGCTGAAGGGTAAAAATGCATCAGTGCTTTTACTATCAATCCATTAGTAATGTAGAAAAACTTATGTGCATTAACTTTTAAGCTGTTCAGAGTTACACTAGACCTACTGAGTTTTTTTTAAGAAATTAGTACTTTTATTCAGCAAGGATGCATTAAACTGATCAAAAGTGACAGTAACAACATTTATAGAGTTACGAAAGATTTATTTGACAAGAAATGCAGTTTATTAAACTTTTATATTCATTATAAACTTTATTAAAAGAAATGTTTCTTGATCTGCAAATCAGCATGATTTCTGAAGGTGATGCTGAAAATTCAGCTTTGCATCGGAGGAATAAATTACATTTTAAAATATATTATATTAATATATTTATTTCACAATATTACAGTTTTTAATACATTTTTGAATAATAATAAATGAAGCCTTAATGAGCATAAGAGACTTCTTTCAAAAACATTAAAAAAAACTCCAAACCTTTGAAAGGTAGCCTATATGTTATTTTATGGTTGTTATTCCTAACTGTATATAAATATTTCTGGCAAACCCCAGATTTATATCAAATATTGGTGGCAAACTTAACACACACATAATAATTGCAATTGCAATTTTAATCATGTACTATTTACAATAAATATTTAAAATTCTTTAAAACATTTAAATGTAATCAGTATTGTTAATATTTACAATTACCATTATCGAAAATATATATTTTTAAAGAATCAAATTTGATTATGCTTACTGACTGATGTTAAAGGGGTCCTATTATGCTCTTTTACAAAGTCTTGATTTGTTTTGGGGGTGTACTAGAACAGGCTCTCATACTAGTTTGTTCGAAAAACACATTATTTTTCACATATTTTACATTATTACAACACCTCTCTCCCCAGTCTGGCATGAACGGCTCGAATAGTTCCTGTATCAAATGAAGGCCCGCCTTCTGAAATACGAAATGTGCTGTGATTGGTTAGCTGGGCCAGTGTGTGTTGTGATTGGCAGCACTCGGCGCCTCGTCGGGAAGTGTCATGCCCCTTACCATAGCAAGCTTCAGTGTAAATATTGCTCAAAATCAAATCAATTTGAGCGTGATTTAAGGATCCATGTCCAGCTTTATTAGTTCACAAGGCAGGTCATACAGGCATAGATCGGTAACTGGTGTTAGACACAACGAAGGCTGGGCAGAATCGTAAACAGTGTTCGTGATCAGGGTCGAGGCAGGCGGCAGACAGACAATAGCAGGAATCAACAAGGCAGGCAGGGTCAGAATAGGTAGGCAGCAAGCAATCGTAAACGGGTAAACAGTCCAGGTAATCAACAAATACTCAACACAGTTAAAACGCTCAGAAATGTCTGCAAGGCAAAACAAGACTTCGCAATGAGAGCAGGGAAGGCACAGTTTAAATAGACCGGGCAATGGGAAACACCTGTGCAGGTGATTAGTCTCAGGCATGGGGCATTGTGGGAATTGAAGTCAGTACTCCGGTGATGGTTCCCTCTGGTGGTGATCGGAGGGAGCCACAGAGGCTGAATTTGTGACACGTTGCCTTCTCTAGTGCAGCTCAACCAGGTCTTGTCCCATTCGTCGATATTTGTGATATCACAAATCCCGGAAAATATGCGTTGTAGTCCAAACGAGTCGTTCGTTGTAGTTTTTGAAAAGTGATTTCTTTTAAATAAAATATCTCCTTTTGAACTGGACTTTGAGTTTTGTAACTTTGCAGATCTTTTTTATGCACAAACAGCAACAATACAGACTAACTAAAGTTGAAAAAGTGAAAAAACATAATAGGACCCCTTTAATAATCTTGAAATATCGATCAGTTAATTAGATCGTAGAGACCGTGGGTGCACTTACTTTTGGGAAATGCAGTTCTGGCCAATATATTGGTTTATGTCTGCTTTCATAACAATAACCTAGAGGTGCACTGGGGGAAGTTAAATATCTAATAGCATTAACTCCATCTTTCCTGTCCTCCAGAGGTGCGTTCTCTGAGGTGTTCCTGGCTGAGGAGAAGAAGACCCAGCGACTCGTGGCCATTAAATGCATCCCTAAGAAAGCGTTGGAGGGAAAGGAGAACAGCATTGAGAATGAGATTGCTGTGCTACACAGGTTATCTAATGATTTACAGAACTGGCTATCTAATGATTTACAGCATAAAAATCTAGCTTGATAGTCAAGATGGACAGCTGGCAGATCAACCATTTAAACCAGCTGAGGTCCAACTTGGCCTTTGGCTGGTTTAAGCTGTTAATTTTTTTTATTCAGGATAGCATGTATAGCATCATATATGGAGAAAGCCAAACAGAGGAAACCTGTCGTCTGCAGCACACCTTTACCATAGTATTTGGGACTGAACTCTTTGATTACAAGGCCAATAACAGATAACGGCACTGTTTGAGATCAAGCGAAACCATGTCATGATTTGTGTGCAGATATAGGACGGATGCTGCCGAGAGCTTGACTCTCTTTGTGAGGTAGTGTTAAGGATAATTGTCAGTCAAGATGCTGAAAGGTCTCTTCCTTTTCCTCTTAAAAGCCAGATTGCTCTTTGAGAGAAGAAACGCTCTTGTGAATGCTATCTGTGCCATAAAAATGTGCTATAGCTTTAGAAATCGTAGAAGTGTGTACCGGAAATGTCAAGAGTACTGGAGATAGTCCTATTTTTAGTGACTCTGTTGCCAGGGCAACAGCACACACAGAGGCTGAGATGGTATGGAGGTTCCCCGCAGCAGTATTGTGAAAGAGAGAAAGAAAGGGACCAAAGAGGAGGAATAGGGATAGAATTAAGAGAGAGAGAGAGAGAGAGAGAGAGAATCCCACCATTGGTGTGAAAAACTGTAATCAAATGGAAGGCAGGAAACCAAAAGAGTGGAAGTCAAATAGAGATAGAGCGAAATGTTATTAATGTCTGATTTGAGTATAGCCGGTGTAGCTTCATAAAAGAGACTGAGAAAGCGCATTAAAAATAGGGAAGAAGGAAGGAAAGCCATCATGAATAGAGCATAAAAAGATCTTTAGAGCAATGCAATGACTTTCACATGCATATTACATTTCCTCACAGCAGTGTCGTTATTGTTAACAAAAACTATTATTATTATTATTATTATTATTATTATTATTATAAAATAGTTTTCAGTATTTAAATAAATTTGAAATTAGATGATAAAAATAAAATAACATAAATAACAAAAAAAAAAAAAAACTAAAATGATTAAAAATAGTTTTCGGTATTGAAATAAATTTGATTATAAAAACAAAAGAAAAGAAAAAAAAAACTAAAACTAAAATTATTAAAAATAGTTAGTTTTCAATATTTAAATAAATGTGAAATTAGATGATAAAAATCTAAAAAAAATAAATAAATAAAAAATAAATAAATAAAATAAAATAAAATAAATGACAAAAATTCACTGTGTATTTGTGCACACCTGGCAAATAAAATTAATTAATTAATTACTTAATTAATTAATGCATTTATGCATTCATTCGTTCAATTGTTCATTCATTAATTCATTCAAAAACTGAAACTTAAAAAACATACAAATTTGAAATGTTTCTATGGCAACTAATTGAAATAAATAAGTTGTTAAACTGAAATTAAATTAAAGTTATATCGATTTATTTAAAAACTTAACGAAAAAGACAAAAACATAAAATTTGTAAAACGTGAACTAAAATAAAAATAAAAACTGAAAACATAAAATAAAAGCTAATTCAAAATATTTATATAATATAACAGTATAAAAATAATACAAAAGTAACATTGCCTTATAGTGAAATAAATCAATATACACAATGTAAAATATCAATCTGCAGGTTGTGCAAGTTGGATCCTACAAGTTCTGGTCCCTAATGTAAGGGTCTTAAGCCATTTTACTGTCCATCAGCTGAAATAGTAAGTCTGATTGCCAGTTTAGATTCTAATCATTGCTGTTTTCTTTTCTTTTTTTCAGAATAAAACATGAGAATATTGTTTCACTGGAAGACATCTTCGAAAGTCAGTCGCATTTGTATTTGGTCATGCAGCTGTGAGTTTTTCTCAGCACTCACAACCACATCAACCATAATCATTATAAAAGATACTGGCTGATGTTGGTTTAATTTGCAGTGTCAATTGAACGCTTGTGTGATTACAGTAGAGGTGCTAATTGTAGTTTGTGTGTGTGGGTCTTCACAGCGTATCGGGGGGAGAGCTCTTTGACAGGATTGTGGAAAAAGGTTTCTACACAGAAAGAGATGCCAGCAAACTCATTCGGCAGATTTTAGATGCAGTCAAGTATCTGCATGATATGGGCATTGTGCACAGAGACTTGAAGGTAATGCTTACATATTCTTTCCATATAATTACACACTGCCTTTCTAACCAGGCGTAATGTGAAAATGATTCAGTGTGCAATCTTTTTTCTGTCCTCGCTGAAAGCCAAATGCTGCCATGAAGGGACAAAATCACTGACAAAAGTATTTAATGTTTAATATTCAGCTGTGTGGAGCTGAAAATCAGACCATTGAGATTTAACAGTAGGCAGTGCTATATGTAACTTGACAGAAATAGGCTGGAATGGAATACAAGTGTAATGCTTACAGTACTGCATACTGCACCTTTCATTTTTCTAAAAGTATTCCAAAGCAGTATATATGTTAAATATGTGCATATATGTTGAATTTTTTAAACTTTATTATGCCACATTGCTGTCACACAACCTCATAACATTAAGGTTAATAAGTATGTGTAATCCAGTTACCATCTCTTAAATAAAAAAGTTATTTCGTATTTTTAATATAGGTTTCTTGCTAGTCAAGGCAAGAAAATATGACAATATATTCACTCAAATAATTCATTCAGAATTTTAGGGTGGGTACGATTTTTAAAACAGCTCACAAAGACTGCATTTATTTGCTAAAATACTGTAAAAACACTAATATTATGAAATATTATTACAATTTAAAATAACTGCTTTCTATTTTAGTGTGTTAAAATGTAATTTATGGAAAAACTTAATTTCCTAGTTGTTACTCTAGTTTCCAGTGTCATATTATCTTTTAGAAAAAAATGTAATGTGCTGATTTGGTGCTGAAGTAATTTCTTATTATTATCAGTGTTATCAAACTTAATATTTTTGTGGAAATCATGAAACATATTTGAATTCAGGTTTCTTTGATGAATATAAAAGTTCAAAAGGACAGGATTTATTTGAAATAGAAAACTTTTGTAACATTATAAAAAATCTTTACAGCCACGTTTGATTAATTTAATGCATCCTTGCTAAATAAAATTTTTACAAAAATTGCTTTTGGACTTTTATAGAAATAGTAAGAGTTTTATAGTCGTATTCTATTCCAAACATAGCCCAAATGACCAATAAAATGTCCTGTTGTGTGCTGTTTGTCATGGATGGTCCTGAGAAAAACTTAAATTAACATGGAAGGTATTATATTTATTTATGTCAAGTCTGATTATAACACAGTGTTATGCATATGAAAAGAGTGCACCAATGGATGTCCATAAATGTAGCAAGGTATGACTTGATTTAATTTGATTCAGGGGAAATTACGTTCAGCTGATATTCATTCACTCTCTTTCTGTGCAGCCAGAGAATCTGTTGTACTACAGTATGGAAGAGGACTCCAATATCATGATCAGTGACTTTGGCCTGTCTAAGATCGAGGACTCGGGAAGTGTGATGTCAACTGCCTGTGGGACACCTGGATACGTAGGTACGAATGAGGGCTATTTTTCCTGCCTTTTTCAATCTATTTTGCCATCTTTAGCAAGGGTCAGTAATGTGTCGGTTTTTAGAGGCTCGCAGTCATTTGAAATGCCATACAATGTCAAGTGCTAGTATTTTAAAGTGCCTCTTTGATGCTGCCCTCATTCTCTACAAAGCTCAAAAGGAAAGGGAACTCAACAGAGAAAAAGAAACACTGAAAGCTTTTCTGTCTCTCCCACCCTCTCAATCAGCTCCAGAGGTCTTGGCACAAAAACCATACAGTACAGGATTTATTTGAAATAGAAAACTTTTGTAACATTATAAAAAATCTTTACAGCCACGTTTGATTAATTTAATGCATCCTTGCTAAATAAAATTTTTACAAAAATTGCTTTTGGACTTTTATAGAAATAGTAAGAGTTTTATAGTCGTATTCTATTCCAAACATAGCCCAAATGACCAATAAAATGTCCTGTTGTGTGCTGTTTGTCATGGATGGTCCTGAGAAAAACTTAAATTAACATGGAAGGTATTATATTTATTTATGTCAAGTCTGATTATAACACAGTGTTATGCATATGAAAAGAGTGCACCAATGGATGTCCATAAATGTAGCAAGGTATGACTTGATTTAATTTGATTCAGGGGAAATTACGTTCAGCTGATATTCATTCACTCTCTTTCTGTGCAGCCAGAGAATCTGTTGTACTACAGTATGGAAGAGGACTCCAATATCATGATCAGTGACTTTGGCCTGTCTAAGATCGAGGACTCGGGAAGTGTGATGTCAACTGCCTGTGGGACACCTGGATACGTAGGTACGAATGAGGGCTATTTTTCCTGCCTTTTTCAATCTATTTTGCCATCTTTAGCAAGGGTCAGTAATGTGTCGGTTTTTAGAGGCTCGCAGTCATTTGAAATGCCATACAATGTCAAGTGCTAGTATTTTAAAGTGCCTCTTTGATGCTGCCCTCATTCTCTACAAAGCTCAAAAGGAAAGGGAACTCAACAGAGAAAAAGAAACACTGAAAGCTTTTCTGTCTCTCCCACCCTCTCAATCAGCTCCAGAGGTCTTGGCACAAAAACCATACAGTAAAGCTGTAGACTGTTGGTCCATAGGAGTGATTTCTTATATTCTGTGAGTATTTCTTGATCTGCATCTGTCATATCACAACAATTTTTTGTGTGTGTATTGATTGATTGATTGATTGTCAATTTTATAGGAATTTATTTAGTTTGGCACCAAGAGCTGGTAACACTCCAAAGAGAAAGGAAAAATTGAAATCGCATCATATGACCCCTTTAATGTATTGAATCTATTTAATTATTTGTACTGCATTTATGGTCAATCCTCATTTATTTATTTAGGAAAAAATTTATAATGAATTTGCATAAATCAATATTTCAATCTAAATCAATATTTCATATTTAGTTATTTATGTATTTGTCATATCAAAAACATTTTGTTTGTGCATTTAAATATATATATATATATATATTTATATGAATAAATTTTTTATTTAAATCATTTATTTATTACATTTATTTTTATAATTTTTTCTGTATGGTCAATTCTATGGAAGCCCGTTTCCGCCACTGAATAAAAAATAAACTCCGACTTTTTATCTTACAATTCTGACTTATTTCTCGCAATTACGAGTTTATGTCTCGCAATTCAGACCTTTTTCTCAGAATTGCGTGATACAAATTCGCAATTCTGACTTTTTTTTTCAGAATTGTGAGATATAAACTCCAAGCCAGAATTCCAAGATAAAAACTAGCAATTCTGAGAAATGAGGTCAGATTGTGAGACATAAACTCAGAATAGCGAGTTATAAATTCAGAATTGCGAGATATAAAGTCAGAATTGCGAGATATAAAGTCAGAATTGCGTGACATAAACTAAAGCAATAAGCCCCAAGAAGCCGTGGTTTACAGTTTATAACAACTAAGGGGCATTGTTAGGCACGACGCCTTAGCTGTTATAAATTCACTGTAAACCACAGCTTCACAGGGCTTATTGCTTTTATAAAACGGTTATTCCATATACGTAGTAAGGTTTCACAGAATAAAACAGAGCAAATAAAGTGTAATGATATAAATAAAAACAGTATTCTTCCACCAAACAATGTTGTTCCTCAGAAACAGTTGTGGTTCCAACAAAGTGGTTGCCGTGCAACACACAGAAGTAAACAAAGGTGTATGTTTGTAGAGTAATTTACAACAGCTTCGAATGCGGCTCAACCAATCAGAAGGACCGGAACTATCCGTTTTATAATTGCAGTTTTGAGAACTAAAGTCAGAATTGCGAGATGTAAACTCACAATTCTGACTTTTTTCTCAGAATTGCATTTGTATCTAGCATTTCTGACATTTTTTTGAGTTTATATTAGGGGGGGGCAGAATTTCGAGTTTATATCTTTCATATTGATTTACTTGTTTGATTATGATTAGCCAACTAAAAAGAGGATAATTAAGAGTCTGTTTGATTGTTATTGCAAAGCTATGTCTTTTGCAGCTTATGTGGCTACCCTCCATTTTACGATGAAAATGACTCCAAGCTGTTCGAGCAGATTCTCAGAGCAGAGTATGAGTTTGACTCTCCGTACTGGGACGACATCTCTGACTCAGGTAGATCTTCAGTCATGATAATGTAATCATAATCCAGTACCATCATTTTGACAAGCTCTTGATACAAATGACTGCACCAACTGAGCTCAACAGCAGGTTTTTAAAAATAAAAATACCATTAGTGATGGAACAATGTTAAACGGAGTTCATTCTTATATGCGACTTGTCTGCCAATAGTGAAGAAAACCCTTCTCATAACTACTGATGAGCTCAGTCCTGGGCATTTTCTTAATGCTTTCTTAATGCTTGAATATTGTTTGACAAACATATTATCGATCACATCCCGTCCTAGCCAAGGATTTCATCAGTCACTTGATGGAGAAAGATCCGACTCTGAGATATACATGTGAACAGGCTTTACAGCACCCATGGTAGGATTACCTAAAAAAAAAAAGTGTTATTTTTTTACTTAATCTATTATCATAATATCCTTCTCCTCTTTTCAAAAAAATTGCATTAGTAACTCATCCCTCATCTCTAATTTTGAAGGATTTCTGGAGACACGGCTCTCGACAGGAACATTCATGAGTCTGTCAGCGCTCAGATCAAGAAGAACTTTGCCAAAAGTAAATGGAAGGTGAGAATCCCATCATTTTTTTCACATCTTGCATTTCTAGCCCAACAGTTTTTTTTTTGGAATATGGCTTACTTGGTTTGCCAAGAATAAATTGCTATAAACCTGAGTTATGTTTGCGGCCTCTCACTATATGACTACACAAAACTATTGTTTAATCACATGCTATTGACTGTTCAAATGCAGAGTTTTGCAGTGTGTGTGTGTGTGTGAGAGAGAGAGAGAGAGAGAGAGCGAGAGCGAGAGAGAGCGCGCGCGCGAGAGAGAGCGAGAGAGAGAGCACGCGCGAGAGAGAGAGAGAGCCAGCTGTCTTAACCGTGGCTTGTGTACACATACCAGCTTCATCATTATCACGCGAATCTGTTCCCCTTTTGGGCTTGAACTGATGGTAAAACTGACATTATTTACTGTCTTAACATTTATTTTGAAAGATGAAGCTCGCGATTATGGTAAGGGGCGTTACATTTCCGACGAGTGCTTGCAGTGTTCGGCCAATCACAATGCACTGGGTCAGCTGGCCAATCAGAGCAGACTGCGCTTGTCGGAAGGAGGGACTTTGTAGAAAACAAAGCGTTTGAGAGAGGCGGGGCATAGAGGACCTACAATAATGTACAGTATTTGAAAAATAATGTGTTTTTTGAACATTAAAGCATGTCACCATATTCTGTTACACCAAATACACCAAATAATGATCTTTAAAAAAGCATCATATGACCCCTTTAAAGGTCTTCACAGTAACCCATCAAAATAAAAGTTCTATTCAAGTTGAAGAAATTGTGACAGAAATATATTATTGTACTAAAGAATGTTTGTCTTAATGTAATACTACTACTACTAATAATAATACAATTATTATTTAAACGTAATTAAAACGTTTTTAAATAATCACACAATTTCTCTTCCATGATTTTAACATTAAACCTCTGTTGTGCAGCACTTTGTTTCGACAAAAATATGAAAGGGTTTGTATAATATTCATTTGATTAAAAGATACATTTATGTTTTATGCCTTCATTTGATTACCAGAAAAATTAAAATACACAACACATAATTTCTGAAAAAACAAAACATTATTGGGCCCTATTATTTTAAACAAATTAATAAATTAAGTTGTTTTTATGAGTTTAATTAATTAGATATGTTTTTGATAAAAACCATTCAAATGGAATCCAGAAAAATTCAAATGGAAAACACAGAAATTGAGAAAATAACAATAATAATAATAATTATAATAAAATAGATTGCATAGGGCCCTAAATATGTATTTTTTGTTAAAATTAATAATAATAATAAATTGCTGTTAAACTGTATAAGTTCCATGATTTCTTTATTTTATTTTATTTTATTTGATCAAATTTAACCATTAAAAAGGAGTACAGAAAAATTAAAACTGGAAAAAAAAATTAGACACAGAAAAGTTAATGGAATAAAAATGGAATTTATAAAAAAAATTAAAACAGGATTTGGGTAAAAATAAAATGGTTTTCATAGGGTCCTATATGTGACCCTGGACCACAAAACCAGTTATAAGGGTCAATTTTTTGAAATTGAGATTTATACACCATCTCAAAGCTGAATAAATAAGCTTCCCATTGATGTATGGTTTGTTATGATAGGACAATATTTGGCCGAGATACAACTATTTGAAAATATGGAATCTGACGGTGCAAAAAAGAAAAATCAATCATTTTGACCCATACAATGTATTTTTGGCTATTGCTACAAATATACCCCAGCGACTTAAGACTGGTTTTGTGGTCCAGGGTCACATATCTGTTTATATGTGTATAGAATGCAGATGTTCAATAGCTGGTAACAGATTTCCTCATTAATCTCACTGAAATGTTGTCTTGTAAACATATTTCAGAGGCACGTTATTTCTTGTTCTTGTCCCTGTAGCAAGCATTCAACGCGACAGCAGTGGTCAGACACATGCGGAGACTGCAGCTGAGCACCAGCCTAGAGGGGCCGAGCCAAATCACCCCCACCAGCCCCTACCACAGACACCTGCTCCTGCCCGCCAAAGAGCTCGACCAGGAGGAGCACGAGGACGAGGACGAAGACCACAACAGTAAGCCTAAGATCATTCTCCAATAAAAGTCACATACTATCCATCCCAAATAATCAATTGACCATTTTAGTACATACAACCTGTTAAGTAAACAAAGGAAGAGAAGTTAGTGACAGTTTTCTTCTTGGACTTTTTTTAGTTTTGAATTTTGAATTGATAATTGAAGATAATTGATAAGGTAATGAACAAAGTCATTTTTTTTTTAACCATATTTTATTGGACTGTCCTGTTTTGAATGCTTCTAGGCAGGATTTATTTATTACATTAACATATTTTTATAACAACATTTTTCATCAGTAATGAATCATGTATATTCATAACATTTTTTTCAGAAAGAACTTTAGTAGTAAAAAAAAAAGAAGAATTTGTCAAATATCAAATTTAAAGATCTTAGTATAGATGTAGTTTTTATTGTGATGTCGCAAGAAAGTTATTTGTTTCTTTTATTTTAATATGCTTTGATAGTGCCATTAAAATAACTTTTGAACCTTATATGGTGCTAAAATAAATATACAAACAAATAAGTAACTTTTAAAAGTTAAGTTAAACAGAACACACAGGAAAAAAACACTTTACAGGAAATATACAGTATGTAAAAAGTTGTCATGTGGAATTTAGAGTTACTTTAGTATTATTTATGTAAGCAATAAGGTATGAGAGGCTGTGCTGTATTGTGTATAATACAGTTTTGCGTCGTGCCTAACAACCCCCTTCAGCCGTGACTTATTCACAATATAGCATGCTTTGAGTACCTTATTGCTTTTATAAAACGGTTACCACACAATAAAAACTATTAAAACCAAAAATGTATGTATTGATATGTTAATATTTTGAAGAAAGTTCATTAAATAGTGTCCAGAACCATTGGGTGAAGCGGTCATAGCTGTGCTTTATCGTGAATAAAACTCAACTGCTGACCAATCAGAATCGAGGACTGGAACCAACTGTTTTATAAATGCTATTATAGTATTTATTAATATTTTGAATTAGCTTTTTTATAGTTTATAGCTTTGTTAGTTTTTTATATTTCTATTTAGCTTTATATTTCAGTTTTAGTTTTTATAAGATATATAAATATATAAATTATATATAATTTCAGCATGTTTTTAATAGTTTTAGGGAACAATAACAAAACTGGGCCAAGTGCTATTTTATAAACTACACAGTTGCTGCTTGTTTTCACATAAACGTTTCTGTTTAGGTTCCCCGAGTGCGGACGGGCGTCGAGGCAGTGCCGACCGGGACAGTCTCAGAAGCTGTGCGTACTGCTGCCGACCTACCAGCAGGATCTGAAGCAGAACTCTGAGCCCAGCAGAACCTAGAGGAACCCAGTGGAACCACACATGCACGTCCACCGCACCAGTCTGACCCGGAACACAGAGCTTTCCTGCTGGTGGGACGTGAGAGGAGAGCGTCATTGTTCCAGACACTCAGACTTGGGTATATCATAGACAGATATGTAACTCCTCTATCGTTTTAATTTGATTACTATTTCTGTACCCCAACCAAAGACTACAATATGTTTAAGTTGTACGTTTATGGAAGGTTTAATTTATTTATTTATTTAATTCTCATTATTTTTTTAAAGAAAAAGTTCAGGTCTGTACCCATAGCAATTTGGACTTTCTTGGAAAGCCACTAGTTATACAATGTCTTCACAAATATTAATATCTTAATAAGCCCCACTTGCTCAGGCGATAAGTTCATGAGGAAAAAAAAAAAGATAATCATATCATTTTTAAGCCTTAATCCATTGTGGTTTTGTTTTGTAAGGTCTGTTGGGTAGAGTTGTCCCTGTTGTTGATTTTGTGATCTGGTTCAGACCGGTACAAAGCTGCATATGAAGTCAGAGCAGGAGTATTTACAAGCTGTTACAGAGATCACGTAAACTTGTTGTGGGTCTAAACCTTCATATGAAGCGTGTGGACAGAACAGGGGTTAGGAGATTTGAGCCACAGTCCAGATGCTTTTTTTACACCCAGATTAAATGCAATACTTAGATAATCTCCACATTCAATAAAGATTTCTCATTTTAGATTTATGGGGCAAAAGTAGTCTGTAGCTCAGTTCCAAAACCTACATTTAAAAAGAATTTGTTTAGATCTTAATTTAAGATGTATGTATTTGAATTTGCATGTAAAATATCCATCTATTTGAATTACAAACATTTTTTAACATTAACAAACTCATAACTTAATGTAATGCATATTTGGCAATCATACATAAATGAAAGAAGTAAGATTTCTGTATAGAATTTAACCAGGTTTATATTTTCATCATCAATAAATCTGATTTGTTTTGATCGAATGCATATTACTAATTAAATATTGCTTGTTCTAGAGCTAGCCATATTTTAACCATGTTCTTATTTTATTTTAACTGAATAAATTTAATTGTTTGCACAATTAACAGATTTATGCAAATTCGAAGCAATTTGAATAAATGCATTTTGACAAATGAAACAGGTGAGATTTTTTGCAATAATACTAATAAACTAAATGTGTTTTAAATACACAATAACCAAGGTCTATATATTTACCATCAATAAATCCAATTTGATTATCTATCTTATTAATCTAATTAATTAATCTAATGAATGCGTTTTAGCTAACCATGCTCATACTTTTATTTCAACCGAATAAATGTAATTGTTTCCACAATGAACAGATTTACGCTGATAAGCAATTCGAATAAATGCATTTTGAGAATAAAATAATTTTAATAAAATTCCATAGATGCAAATAGTTAATAATAAACTATGTCATGCTTTTTGTGTGTGTGCAGAAATCGTATCCATTTCATTTATTCACGACTGACAAATATGCATCACATTAAGTTTATTAGTTTGTTTACACTAAATCTGTGAAATTCAAACAGATGGTTACACAATTCAAATACATAAATCTTAAATGTAAGCCCAAGTTTAGTGAGAAGGAATCAGATGCACACTCCTGGTCCAAAATACGTCTTTTAAGACGCCTCAAAAATCGAAAGCAGATGCTGCGAAAGCGATCTCATAATGCAGTGTAACAAGCTCAGTAAATATATATTAAAAAGGATGAATAAAAACACTATTTTAGCCAATATTTGTGAGAGCTATGTGGATGTATGCTTTTTAGAGTATGCTGGCATCAAATTCTGTTGCAGTTGTGAGTCGAGTGTCGTATCGCGCTTCACATGTGAGGCACTATTTGTTGTAGAGTGTTTCAAATCAGTTACTTATGAGATTCCATTTAAATTATTCTGCCTTAAAAGGGTTTTGGAACAGATGTTGATTAACTACTTTGTCGCAATAGTGATTTAGTTCTGCAAGCAAAATTATTTATCTGTCCATGATTATCAGTTATTCCATGTTGTGTGAGCTGATTGGTTGATTGGTTAAGGTTCTTTTGTTTGGGTTGCTGGCCGTAATCTGTACTGTTCTCCTGTCGGAAGACGTCTAATGTTTGCATGACCTTGTAAAAATATGTTTACAAGAGCGATGATCAAAATATAAAATATACATAAACATATTCATATCTGTACAATACTAATCGCAAAAGAAGACATACTATTTCTGTCACAAGTCATTGGGAGGCACATTTCTTTTTCTATTTCTTTATTAAATATGCATATAACGCTATCTTAAGAACTCAATACTGGCCTTATTTTAAAACTGGATTAATACAACAACAACAAAAAACAATGCAAGAACATTTATCCCCTTGTTCATCAATATATCATATCTGTGCCAATTTGCGCACATTACTTACTTGAAGCCAACAATAATACATAAAAAAAGTTTTTGTTTTTTGCTAATGGACCCCTAATATTAAAAATATTTTCCTTTTGATCATGAATGATTCGTTTTAAGTTGACACTCCATCTGTCTGATATAACTGTATTTATCATTTATTTGCATAAAGTCAATTTCTAGTTTGTCAGAACAGTGTTGTCAGTGCAACAGCATTTTTATTTTCAGTGTAAAATGCTTTTTAAGTTGAATTAGTATTTATTAAATTCAATGAAATTCTAAAATATTAAGTGCATCAATAATTAAAATATTTAATTTTAGAACTGCGTCATACCCAAGTGCAATCATTGATTTAATTAGTATCAAATTGCAACGGTCTAATGAGCAGTTCAGCGATCCGTTCATTATGGTAATTATGCAAACTGCCTCAGAAGGGCTGATTAAATATCATTAGAAGACATGACTATGACTTACTTTGGCTTTGGAAAGTACTAGGAAGTTGCACCCCAGTTTTTGGGTAGTTAATTCCTCCCTTGATCAATTTGTTTTTCACATGAAAGTGCACACACTTCAGGAAGTGAAGAGGAGACACAAATACAGTATGTGTATTATACATAAAGATGATGTATACATATATTGTATATCTTTTTTGTAAAAGCTACAAATGTATGGATGCAATGCATCATGTGTTATCGATGGAGTTATGAAGAGCCAATGATTCGTACCCTTAAAGATATACAGGTAGTAGCACGTTATGAATAAACACTCCTTGTCTATGCATTGTGTGTTCAGTAAAATCTTTGTGTACAGTGCAAATAAAGTTCACATCAGAGTGCTATGCAAAGGCAGACTGTGGTTGGCACTTTCAGATTATATACTCCAAACTGTATGACATGTCAAAATCCCTTTATTTAAAGATTACTACAAAATGTACAAAACGTATTTACAAAAAAACTAAGTTGTGTTGTTAGCCGAAACATACAAGTGACATCAAAATCATACGATTTATGATGATAACATTATGAGTGGAAAAGCTCTGACAGGAATAGTTCACTCAAAAATGAAAATTGACTCACCCTCGGGTCATCCAAGATGTAGATGAGTTTGTTTCTTCATCAGAACAGATTTGGAGAAATTCAGCATTACATCACTTGCTCAGCAAAGGATCCTGCAGTGAATGGGTGCCGTCAGAATGAACAAGTCCAAACAGCCGATAAAAACATCACAATAATCCACACGACTACAGCCGATTTAAAATTAAAACGTCTTAATGATGTATTTGTTTGATACAAACACGCAGCTTTTCACTGCACAAAACCTAACTGATGGACTGGAGTTGTGTGTCTCTCATTCTGACGGCACCCATTCACTGCAGAGGATCAATTGGTGCGCAAGTGATGTAATGCTAAATTTATCCAAATCTGCAATGAAGAAAAACAACTATTTCTTTAAATAAAAAAGTCACTTATACAAGAAGTGTGAATCAACAATATCTTAATTGTAATATTTTGTGATAATTTTTATACAAAATGCATGTGGAAAAAAATGTGCTATGCCTGCGCAATCAAACAGTGAGTCAAGAAAAAGAGATGCTAAAATTTGCCATACCAAAAAAGGAAAATTAAGTCTAAAACATTGCATTATGGGATACAGTGTGCTTTTCTTTATGCTCTTTTTGTACTACAGTACACATTTTGTTAAATGTAGTAGTGCATGATATCTGAAACTAGTATGCATATGTGAACACACCAAATGATTTGAACCATAAATGTAGAAAAAGTGGAAAGAATTGCTGTCTGTTCATAAAAGTATATAATCTATATATATGGCAGACCAATCATTTCTATACTCAAACACTAGATACAGTTCCAGTATACTAGAGTTATTCTGTTCTTGTGTGTTTCTCTAACTGGTGCAAATTACAGCCACGTAATCAGCAATTAAGTACAAGTGCTTAATATTACATAACATTGGCCCACATTGTCAACATTCTGGTCCTTGTCAACGTTTTTTCACATTCTGTGATTGCTTTCGAAATCCAAAGCCCAAGCTTTCTAAATAAAACTAAGAACTGTTCGAATCAGCAGCTGGAGGAGTATCAGCACTCACGTTAGATCAGTGAAGTAATGTAATGTGTGATTACAGCTCTTTCTCCACAGCACTTGTGATCGCCGTCCTCTTTAGGCTCTCTTTGACCCTGATGAACTCAGGCGCGCACTTTGACCTTTCTCTCTGCTCTTCGACCTCTCTCTCAAACTGAGAATAAGAATTATTAAAGTTAAATAATTTCTGAACGAGGTTATAGTACGTGGCGTATATATCATGATTGACAGCACATTTTTTGGAACCCGAGATCAATGTGTTCTGAACTTGAGATGTAAAAATAATCAAAATTAGGGAGCATTCTGTGTAATTAGGATCACTTCCCAGCCTTATTAGCGTACATCAAACAATACTGTCCATTCAGCACTCATTTCAGTATAGTTTGAGGAATGGTAGCCTATTTCTGGTTTTACCTTCTCTAACCTCATCTGTCTCTTCAGTAACTCCTGCTCCAGTGGCGATTTCTCCTCCTCCTGTTTTCTGTCTTGTTTCAGAACTTGAGCTCTGTTTCTCTGTTCCAGAACTCTCTGTAACTCCGGCTTCTCCTCCGCCACTGCCCCTCTGATAGATAAAATAAGTCTTATTTTATCTCATATAATAGAAATTGTACATTCATTGCAATTAAATGGAAAGGGAATCCAGGATGTGGACGCTTAAGGTCAAGTTCATGCTTAAGAACATCTCAACATATGTTAACTCTTCTATTGTATTACAAACTATTAGCCTATATTTAAATCATTAAACTATTAAAAATAAGGTAACAAGTTTGCTTTAGTTAATGCATAAACCATTGTAAACCAACATTAACTAACAAAGAGCAATACATTTCTTACAGTATGTATTAATCTTTGTTAATTGTAGACATTAAAAATACAAAAACGATGCATTATGCATATTAACAATATGCATTGATGGATCGTTCACTATAAGGAGTGTGCATTAAGAAAGCAAATAGGGTCGATTTTGATTTCAGTTGTTTCACTTCAAAAACATCACATCTAGCGATAATTGATAAGAAAATGCGTTACGAGTTTTATAATGTATCCACAAGAGGGATACATTATAAACTTACTTCATTATAACTTCATTATAAACTTACTTAGATACTTCAGTACCACGACTGAGGTGCCCTTGAGCAAGGCACCGACCCCCCAACTGCTCCCCGGGCGCCGCAGCAAAAAAAAAATGGCTGCCCAGTGCTCCGGGTGTGTGTTCACGGTGTGTGTGTGTGTGTGTGTTCACTGTTGTGTGTGTGCACTTTGGATGGGATAAATGCAGAGCACTAATTCCGAGTATGGGTCACCATACTTGGCCACATGTCACTTTCATCACGCCAGAGGCTCTAACTACACACACAACTTTGACTTTACTGCCATCTGTTGGACAAAACATGTACATGCAAGAGAGACATAAACTCAGAAATCCCTCTGTGGGTAAATTTGAAGTGAGATTAGGAATTGGGTCAGGTGATAAATTAAGGCCGCAACTAAGCTTGCTCATGACTCAAAATGTGAACATGCTTTCAACTCAAATTCTGGGTCAGTTTGCACCTTTTGTGTGTAATAATCAGCTCTCGCTGGAGCTCCCGGTGGCTCTTGGACGCTTTGATGGGATTGTGGAGCTTTTTGGGTCTGATGAGCTCTTCATAGTAACCGCTGTCTGTTTGCTCAGGAAGCAACTTGCTCTGGTCTAAATCCTCTTCTCTGCCCCACCTCTGATCAGGGTCTATCACGGCTCCAAGATCAGAGACTAAATCTAAGCAAAAGAGAGCATTCTATTAAAGAAATAGTTCACTAAAAACAAAGAACATTTGCTGAAAAGTCTTGTTTAGCAAATTCCAAACAGCTGATAAAAACATCACAATAATTCACAAAAAAAATCCACGGGACTCCAATCAATCATTTAACATCTTGTGAAGCAAACAGAGGCATGTTTATAAGGAACAAATCCATAATTCATGTGTTTGATCTTCAAACCATCACTTCTAGCCAAAATACCAGTACATAATTCATAATAATGCTCCCTCCAGTGAAAAACTCTATCTCCTGTTGTCTCTCATATTTCGGCATATTTCTCTCCTGATTCAGACAAGATGTCTTTTCAATGGAGAAAGCAATACTGGTTTCAGTTGAGTTCAGCTCACATGTTTGAAATTAAAAACATCTTAATGATGAATTTGTTTCTTACAAACACCCAGCTTTTCACAAGATGTTAATTGATGGACTGGAGTTGTATGGATTACTGTGATGTTTTTATCAGATGTTTGGACTCTCATTCTGACGGCACCCATTCACTGTAGAGAATCTATTGGTGAGCAAGTGATGTAATGCTAAATTTCTCCAAATCTCTTTCGATGAAGAAACAAACTCATTTACATCTTTGATGGCCTGAGGGCGAATCTTTCAGCAAATTTTCATTTTTGGTGAACTTCCCTTTAAAAACAGCCAATATCATCCACCAGGAGAAAAGTTAATTTGCATGGAAAAATAATAGGACACCTCACATGACCGTAGCACCAAATGCACCTTTGTTCAAGAAAGCATGAGTAATAATAATGAAAAGCACTATTAATCAATGTAATTGCATCATATAATATGAAAGGAACATAGAAAACCTGATTCACCAGGTCCAATAAGTGGTTGAGCACAAGCAGAGTTGTGATTTTGATGATTATGATCTGCCTGTGAAAGAAAATGAATATGAGTCATTATATTTTAACCACAAGACAAAATACAAAAATTTGATTTTCATTAGCATTTTCCCTTCTGCATTTCACAGTGATGTGCTATATAGTGATAGCATAATACCATATGATTAACATATTTACTGTAATAATACCATGCTATTACCATCATAGTAGTGTACAAAAACCATACTATCACTATTATCATGTCCAGAAAGTATAAAAGGACATTGCACTGCTTCATCCTTATCTATCATCCAAACAATCTAAAATAATCTCCAAAGCTGTTGATGAACAGCACAATAGCCCTGTGTGTTGAGAGAAATTTTCACAAGGGAGGCATTGTGTGTGTGTGCGTGTGTGTGTCTCTGTCTGTCTGTCTGTCTGTGTCTGTGTGTGTGTGTGTGTGTGTGTGTGTGTGTTAGCACCATGCTGGGTTGATCATATTGGACTAAAATGGTTTTGGGACCAGCTGGCATTTAGCCACCTCATTACTGGCCCTGCCATACAAACTCTCCATTTTCCCTTCATAATCTGTTTGCTGTCTAGAATGTGATTGTGTCAGGAAAGTCACGAGGAGTCCTTGGACTAAATCGCCAAAGGAAAGAAAATCAGAAGGGAATCAAAGTATTCAAATGAGGTTAATGTTACAGATTGCAACTAAATATGTACTTTTTTACACTGAAAGAAACCAAAAGACATGAAAGCTACAGATTAAGACAACTGGAGTTGAGAAGAATGTTAACTGAAATAATATATAGGCTATATATATGCTTATGCATATGAAATGTTGTGTTGGCAACTACTAGAAATTTAAGTTGAAACACACTATCATTACTAACTGGAAATAAAAACTAAAACTGAACTGAAAGTAAAACTAAAATTAAATTAAACTTAAATAGAAAAAAATAATAATAACAATGTCAAAGGCACATAAAAATATGACCAGAAATTAAGCTAAAAGCTAATTCAAATTATTAATAAAAAGTATATAAATAATACTAAACAACACAGCTGATGCACCTTGATTTCACACATATTCCTAAGAACTGAAACTAAATGAACTTAAAAGACACTCAACTCATAATAAGTATATTTCAGCTTAGAATAAATGTCTCATGCTCAAACTTTGTGATTAGAAGTCACACAAACAGGAAAAACAGCATCAAACAAAAGAAACAGTCTCACCTCATAAATCATTTAGTATTTTAAACCTAAAACACTGTTTTCTGAACAATGTCCATTTACAATCATCCATTTGTGTAACAGAGTTTGAGTCCTGTCAGATCTTTAGAGGAGATGTATGACTTACACTCGTAACATACAGGTTCTTCAAACTGGATTAAAATATCCTTACTTTCTTTCCATGGGCCACTCCCATGATTCCAAAGGTGCAGAGCGCTCAGTGCCTCAGGATTGTTCCAGAAACAAATTCTCTGGGATTCCACCTGCTATTTTCATGCAGAGCAAGGGGAGAAGCGGGAAGGGGGATGTACATCCCTCAAGCAAACCCAAACACACACACACACACACACCACACACTTTTACAACCCGGAGTGCATACAGTGTCCTAACTGGTACTACAATCCAGCACAAGGAGGGGGAGTGAAAAAATGGACTGTGTTAAAGTGATGTCACGTTCCCATTTTCCACTCTTCATTGTTAATTTCAACAGCAACAGTGTTACCGTATATACAAGAACCAGTGTGAAGGAATTCTGTATGAGAACAGAATCATCTGTATTATCTTTCAAATGTATTTTTGTTTTATAATATTATCATAGTGGCAGAATGTTGCTCTTCTAGTATTTGGAAAAGAGCAGGGGAAATATATGCAAAATTTCGCCGAATGTGTTCCTTTGAAAGAAGTCACATGGATTTAGAGCAATACGAGAGTAAACTATTCCTTCAATTTTATTTGCTTAGAAAGGGAAGATAGCAAAAAACAGCTACTGTGTTGTTAATGTCCTGTTTTCAAATGTCCCAAACGTGGTGATATGAGGTTGGCTACTGTGGCTTATTCAGTCTCAGATATTCTAGGAAAGCAGCCAATGATCTCCCCCATCTCTGGCCAGTCTTCATTGCTCCTCATATCATTTTGAATTAACTAAACATAACAGATAAAACAACCAACTTAAAACAAAAAACTAAAAAAGCTACAACAAAAAAAATTATTTTCATTCATTGAAATGAAACCAAAGTAAAATGTAAAAATTGGATGGAAAACTTAAACTCTTAAACTTAAAAAAGATGTTCCAACCTTTTCAAAAGGACTAGCTTAATTTATTCCATAAGCGCCTGTGAATACCCAGCTATCCCTGGGCTTCAGGGATTTGACCACTGTGCTGCCCAGTGCAGTGAATATTTCTCTAATCTCATCAGTCAGCCTGGAAAAGATACGGTGGCAGTGGAAGTGAGACATGTATGAATAATTCAACTGACTCTAAAGCCAAGTTAATCATGTTGATGGTGTGTGAAGGCTGTCACATTTTTACTTTGGTGTAGGGTCGATGTGTGAGGCCACACGCACTATATTTCCTGGTTTTAGTGTCTTTAGATAGACAAGTAATTCCTCGGGATCTTGAAGGACAAACAAGTGGTTCTGTACATCAGGATAGTTTTACTTCACATCTTGTTAGATTTAGAACAATTTCACTAAAAGACCTACCTCTAGATTCCAGATTAAAGTTCTTATTTCTTACAACCTCACCGGTTTCACCGAAGAAAAAAAAGAGTCAATTAATCAAATTGAATTTGATTGGCATATATTAATAAATATTAATACTTGCATAAATAGTCAAATGTTTTTAACATAAGAAAATATGAAAATGATTTCAGATTTCAAAAAATTAAAATCCTGTCTAATTATTTGTAATAAACAAACCGTTTGCTAACACAATGGTCAGCCCTTGTCCTGCATTATTCTTAATGCCACCCATGATGCCGTAGAGAAGAACATTTGCATCTATAGATCTAAAGAGTTAGCATCTATAAATACTATTTAATTAAATATTTCATCCAAAAATGAAAACTGCCATCAGTTATCTCAATAAAACTTAAAAATGGTGCATATCCATCAGTTATGCATAAATGAAACAAGTATAAGATATTTATTATATAGTACTAATAAACGGAATGTGTTTTAACCAGGTTTATATATATATATATGTAT